AGAGAGAGAGAGAGAGAGAGAGAGAGAGAGAGAGAGAGAGAGAGAGAGTGACACATGGTGGATACTTACCTGAAGAGCGCTGAACTTGGTGTTGATGACGAGCGCTGATGAGCGCAGATGTTGAGACTCTTGATGATTGAAGAAGACTTGTAATCCTGTGAAGCACTGGACAGTTGAACTCTTGAGTCTCTCTCTATAATCTGGTTGTGATAATTCTGGTTGAGACAATTGAGCTGCGTTTTTCTGGTCTACTACTCATCTTCTCTTTGTGCAAATGTGTGACAAGACAATCTGTGTGACATGTATGCTGGTGTGAGCACTTCATCGTGTGGTGAGCTTTGAGGCTCATTGCAAAAGGTCTATCACAGCCAAAAAATACACTCCAGACATGCTGCTGTCACTAGAGGCACATCATGGCCGCGTAGTGACGGCCCCGACCACAGACGCTCAACCTGACCGGAGAAACCGTAGCCAGGGTGCTATCGAACTCCTGGTATACATCGTCAAACAGAGCTGCCCGGTAAACCGTCGGCAGAGAGGGAGAAGGGAGAAGAGGACAACAAACAAGGGGCTGTGACAAGCTGTTTCGTCGGAGTTTCACCGACTCATCAGGAGGCCGAAGCCTCAACGGTCTGCAGAATCCCCTAACTGATTACGCTCATTCCAGCGTCCTAATCCTTATCTCGTGACGAGATAGTGAACCCGCAGGTTGCTTTACATCAACAACCCCTTCGGGGGAGAAATGATGTTTGTCTGTCTGTCTTGGAAAGCATGAGCTTAAGGGTAGGAAAGGGGAGGAAGCAATGGCGATTTGGGATTGAAATTTGATCATGGATGAACACTGACTCTGTTTCTGTGTGAGAGTGAGGACTCTATTGATTAATTTATGTAGTATACATATTACATACTACACTCTAATTTTTTTTAATTATTATTATTTTTTCCAAGCTCCAATCTTTTTTTTTTTTTTTTTTGCACTCTAATAATTAATTAACTGTATTATGGTATTTTTGCTTCCTTCCATACTGTGGGATTCCCACACAGTGTCTCTGACTCCCAGCTGGGTGTGGTGTGCCAATTTGGTCTTTTGGTGGCTTAATATGTGGTGGTATGAAATTTCGCCAGTCTAGCGCCATCTTCAAGGACCTATGCCTGAAGCTCGATGCAATGTCTCACTTCCACTTCACTCCAAAGCAGGTGAGTTTTTTTTCGGCCGCTCGAGCGTGCTTGTTGTTTGTCGCCAGGGATGGCATCTGATTGATTCAATTTCGTTGCTTTTTGTTTTTTTTGCCATCTTTGAAGTTTTATCTCATTTTTCTCTCATTTTTCTCTCATTTTTCTCTCTTTTTCCTTTTTTTTTTGTTGGGGGGGGGGGGGGGGGGGGGGTGGTGGGGGGGGAAGGGAGGGGATAGCCTCTCACCATGGCTCACGTGATTATATTTTTGTAACTTAAAAAGTTAAAACCACCAGTACATCCGAGCTGCTTTTTGCCAAGGCAGATCCCCTCTGTACACCAAGCTTTGCCAAAACGCCAGTTGGGCGCTTTTGTCTTTTCTTTTGGCTGGTTTAGATTCGTCCAACTCGGTTTGGATTCGAACTCGTGAGCTATTTGTTTGCAAAGAGTTATTGTACTCTTACGTGTGTGCAGTGTGCAGCAATCAGGCAGACCAAGCTCCATGCAACAAATAACCAGACGATCCTGGAAGCTCCACGTGGGAATGCACTTAGACAGTGTAAGGGCTACTTGTTTGGATGAATCTGGCTTTCATTGTAGAGAAAATTCATCTGTGAAAGTCCCGGGTGTGGTGGGTATGGGCTGAGAGGAGGAGGAGCTGGCATGCGCAAAGGATATATTGCATCGAGCTGTTCTTCGCTCTCATCAAAACCGACTTTATGATTCAAACAAAAAAGGTTTCATGATTTTTTTATTTATTTATTTTTTTAATTTGGTGTACGTTAATCAAACGCCTGTGGTTTTGGGCATCCTTGCACTAGGACGTTCTAGGATGTGCTGTGACTGTAATAATGGACAGTCTGAGAGTCATTCAAAGTTCAAACGAGTGTCAGCATAAGGGGTGTGAGATGGGCGGTGTTGGCGCGGTCATGGCTGTATCGAATAACCCCTTGGCCGGTTCCTTGCCTGACTACTGAATCCGGTGGGGCATTGGGCGTTGGGGGGGTATCGCGGCTGCGAATACTTGTCTCTGTGTATGTGTATGTATGACAGGTGACGGAAGACATGACAGTCCGGCCTGCTGTACCGGCTTTGGCTATGGAAGAGGTAACCTTCATAGCACTACCTCCTTTCGAAATCTTCCGCCCACTCCCTCCCACAAAGTTACAAACATACTTTTTAATAAGTTTTTTTTTTAATTTTTATATATAATAAAAATTTTCGACTATTTCTTGATTTATGCGTGTCATCCTTGCTTGCGCAGGGGGCATGCTAATCTTCTCTGTATCGTTCCAATTTTAACGGATGTCCCGAAGGACAAGTTTTTATTTTTTTAATTAATTATTTTTATTCAACTTTATTGCAGAAATAGTCTGGGCACCACCTGAAAAAAAAAAATGTTACTTTAGTCCGAACTTTGCCAGCCAATCGATCCTGCTGAGTCTGATCCAGTCCCAGTTTCAGTTGCAAACCCAGTCCTGTCCCGTTCCCAGAGTCCCAGTCCCATGTACGATATTTGTGTGTCCAATGTTAAGTCCCACACCTGGTACGCTCTGTAGGCCCGTTATTGCCTGTGGAAGTCAGTGTCCTGTAGGGTCTGTAGGATGGGTAAAGTCCGGTGCAGTTGGGTCCAGTGAGCAGCCAAGTCACGTGAAAGTCAGGGAACGTTCTGAAACGTCAGAGGCCAGGCGGGGCCATGCAAGCCAGGGTTAGGTACCAGAACGTCCAAGGTTGAGGGAACCAGATCACCGGATACAGAAGTCCATTTGCCGGCGGCGGCATTATCGATTCCGTTGGTGTTCGAGGAAGAAGTGCTGCTGTGACAATGTGCGATCCGAATGTCCAGGGAGGCTGGCCACTAGGCGCCACAGCAGAGAGTGTGAGTTTTGAGGAAGACATTCAGAGAGAGAGAGAGAGAGAGATGTTGATGGGTTGTGGCCATAGGAGTCAGATTTGTATAAAACACGCGTTGTATAAGATTCGAATTTCAGACTTACTCTCCAGGCTCTCACATCTTGTGTTGGATTTCATCTCGTGTGAGTGTGATGTGCATCCGTGCGAACACTGTGAAGTATGTGCTTGTCATTTGTGGGCTCATTACAGTATATGATGTTTTGGACTGGTTATTCCGGAAGTCAACATTTATGTCAGTCATGCCGTCACGGTCTTTTTTTTTTTTTTGGGGGGGGGGGTGATAGGTTTCAGTCTTTCACATCATGCAGAGAGCCCCAATAGCCCAATTAATGGGAACCATTTCAGCGACTGGCCTTGCACCACCTGGTGTGAGGAGGTGCAAAAGTTTTAGGCATGATATTTATATTATGTATCTGAGTTGCAGCCCCGCAAAAGAGTAGGGGGAAACTTAGAAAACACGAACAATTTCAAAAAATGCATGCAATCACCGAAAAAGAAACAGGGAAAACAGAGAAAAAATGCAATCACCAAAACAAAAGGGACCTGAACCGACTTATTAAATGCAAGTTGTGGGATGTCAAGCGTCCACGCTATTTAGTATTTACTATTTAGTATGTACCCAAGTCCTCTCTCTGATATTTTGTTATCTTATTAATTATTAATAGTTGTTATCCTTTATCATCTGTATGCAGCACTATGCACACTGTCATTTAGGGGTGCAGAACTCCGAGGTACGCTGTTTGCTTGTGCCAAGAGGGGTGGGATGGACCCCCCCTCTCTCTCTCTGTCTCTCTGTGGGGGGGATGGGGGGTGGTGACAGGCAGGCGCAGCATCAGGCCCCCCACCTGGCCCCCTCCCCCCAACCTCCCCCCACCCCCAAAACCCTAAATGGGCCACACCCCTTTTTGGTGTTCATCTGCCTCACCTCCTAGAACTCGGCGATAATGTTTCTGATTATGCTGTTCTTCTTCTGGTCTCACTACCTTCTTCGCCTGAACGCGACGACCTGGAAGATTGCTTGTATACATTCACGATGCAGGTGTGTTCTGTTCGGGGGAAGACTAGTGTGTATAGTGTTTCTTGATGGTGCCAACCGTTTTACTCGTTCAACGAGATGCCTTCTTCACACCACTTCTTTTTCTTTTTCTTCTCTTTCGACTCTTCTCGTTTTTTATTTATTTATTATTTTGCTTATTCAACTCATTACCATCTTTTTGGTAAGAAGAAGATGGGAACGCCCTCCGAGCACACATCGTTTTTGCTCAATCGTGTATAAAATTTTGCGTCGTACAGATCACTTTTTCTTATAGGAATGTTATCTTCAGAGGAGCTGGAGGATTTTGCTAACAATTGAAATGGTTTTCACCTTTGCAGTAGCAGATGCAGGTCCCAGGGCTCGATCGCTAGACCTGCCCCGAACCTGTGTACAGTACAGTTTGCCCCATCTAGGTTTGAACCCGTGACCTGCCCCTAAAACTTGTCTGTCTAAGGCTGTTGTACATACGAGGATTGAGTAGGTTCGAGCTGCTTACCTGTAGGGTAGGAGTCGTAGCTTATGTCTGGCCGTAGCTGCTGTACGTGTAAAGGGTCAACCTAGGTCTAGAGGGTGCCGGTTCGTCCGGTCCGGTCCGGGTCCGTCCGGTCCGGGGGGAGGGTGTCGCACGCGGCAAAGCGGACCGGACCGGGCGCTCGTCCGGTCCGTCTGCTTGCAAGTATGGTCTAGAGTCTGCTAGAGTACCGAAAGGGCAAGTAGGAAGTTCTAGAGTCTTCTAGGACTGCCCCTTCGAGAGTCTCAGAAGCAGTCCGTAGACAAGTGGGCAAGTGGGCAAGTGGGCAGACTTACCAGGTCCAGTCAGCGGTACGCAGGCCCAGTCGCAGCTTGTCCAGTCAGCAAGTACCATGTGGGACTGTGTGCAACCTAGGCCCAGTGGAAAGGAGCAGACCAGCGACCAACTGAAGTATAAATCAAGAGGCAGCGTCCAGTTATTCATTCATTCAGGCTGTGAGCCGTGCGGAAGCGCTGCCTGAGCGACTTGTGCAAGGAGGTCTGCATGTGCCGGAGGAAGAAGTGGGCTGAGAGGGAGACGAAGCTGCCATAGCCGCTAGTTAGTGGTAGAGTTAGCCAGCAGCCATAGCTGAGCTACGTTAGAGTTAGGCTACAGCGTGTATGCGAGTGAGTGTGCAGTGAGTTGTGTGCATATGTGGGACATCCCGGGAGATCCAGAGTAGCGTGCGTGTGAACGGTGCCGAGGATACAGCGTGGAAGGGTGTTGTGAGGGTGCACATGCGTCATAGCCATTCGAAGCAAGTTGAATCTGAACTGTGTTCTTGGCCACGATATCTCTGAGCTTTGTGTGGGCGCTCATCGCCAGTGTGATTGCCATCTGTTTTCAGCTTTTCATGCATGCTGAGTAAAACGAAGATGAGCCTGATTGCACAATCCACGATGGTCTTCAAAGGCTCATGCGAGTGTGCCGTTAGTGATTTAGTTACCTGGCTGAGGTTGCACACAGCACCTCTAACGCATTTTCACGGAGTGTATTCGGCTTTTGTGAAGGAACGTGAATGTGTCCATTTGCAGAATTTGCATCAGGGTGCTATGGAGACCCGCAAATGTGTGCTGCAACCCTGCTCTTTCTTTTTTTAGCCTCTTCCCTCTCTGCAGCTGGATATCAGTGCGTTGACCCCTCCTCTCTACCGCTCTCCGTGCAGTTTTGGGCGCATTGGAATTTGAAACTTAGGTTTGTGTATGCCTTTTTGTCTTTGGTACGTCTGTCGCTGCAGGTGGCTCCAATCGCTGTGACAGATGCTGACATGTTAGCTCCTGAAGAGTTGTATGAAGCCGGTGGTGGGGCTGGTGGTGTAAGAGGAAGCGCAGCAGGCGAAGTGATCGTCGAGGGTGAGCTCACGAGAGAGGACCGGAAACGATTACGCGCCAAGCGGAAGAGAAAACAGAAAGGTAAGGGCTAATCCACCCTGAACAGATATGCACC